TAAAAAGGGAGCATCTCCAGACGCTCTCAAAGAGAAAAGCGAACAGAGACATCATGGCCACAGAGCACAAGGCACAGCCTGTTCTTTTCAGGGAAACAGGGTTCCTAATTCACTTGGAGAGGGCTCAGTATTAGTCTTGGGCCTTGGGCTGCAAACTAGTTTTTCACTTTATGTAACATTTTGGCCCCTTCCCTAAGAAGTGTTTCGAAATTGTTTGATGTCCCTGCTCTGGGATGTCTATAAAGAGAAAACTTGTCCTTGCATATGAGGTGACCTGGCAGCGAAGCGTGGCCTGTCCCTTTTGCTATCCAGAAATCTCCCAAACTTGCGGCCTGTGACCAATGCTCCCTTGCTTCACATTCAACTGTATAAATGGTCACAGGCGTGAATCTCAGCCCAGGGGCTTGAGTGTACAAGAAAAATAACCAAGATTTTTGAAATTCAGTATAGCTTCTACTTCAAGCCCCACTTCAGCAGGGTGGTAAAAATTTCATTTCAGTTATTTTGAGGCTGCTTCCTGCTCTGGGACTGTATTTAAATGGTGGAGGAACTAGATGTCCCCTGAGCTTATTTACTCTTTAATGTAACCTGGTTATAAGGGCATTGGCTGGGCCATGTACCACCCAGTTTGGTCCTCTCTCATTGGCCCGAGCCTGTCACCATAGAGACTCCCTTGTTCCTGTTTGTATGGCTTTCTTCTTATTCAAGATGTTTTCCAAAAAATATTTATCTAAGTTGAGAGTCCTTTCCAGGCTGCTAACATTCTAGGCTTTTAAAACTTTAGAGCCAGGAAAATATTTCTTTTCCCCTTTGCTTCCTTCTTTACATCATACCCTGAACCAATAACCATAAAATAGCTTTGCTGTTAAAAATAGAAGAAGAGCCAAGAAACAGAGGCCATACGTAAATATTTGAAATACATTACCTTGCTACAAAATCTAACACCCAGATGAATTTCCCAGATGCAATTGGTGTAGATCTGAGTGTGTGTAGACACTTTCCCACCCTGTGCAGGTTTAAGAGATGCTGTTGTTCCCCTAGAAGCTACTCCTCATATATGTTCCCTATTCAGCTTTATCCATTCTCTGCCAAACAAGGATGGAGTTGGGAGGGGTGGGAGATTTGGAGCTGGAGAGAGAAGGAGAGCAACAGAACACACCTGAACACTTTGCTGGGTCATGGTTTTGAAAATGTGGCTCAACTGATGGCCACCCCATGTGAGTTTGTAGGGAGGTTGTAACTCAGTTGTTGAGATCATACTGCCAGCAAGTTCATTTCACTATGTCCTCTAGGGTCGTGGTGAAGACATCAGCTTTGGAGTGAGAAAACCTACTTTCAGTTCCTGACTCTGGCACTTCCTGTACTGCTGACCTTGGGCAAGCTACTCAGCCTCATCAATTTTTCCAATGAGAAAACAGGAATACATGGTAGGATGGTTAAAACATTTGAGTGAGATACTATAATGCATGTGAAGAGAAGGAATGCCTGACCTCTAACATACTTTATTTTGAGCATGTTGATTTAGCAAACCTAAGACCCTGGTTTTAATACTTAAGATTGGAGGCATGGCCACTTGTCAGGTATTCCCGAATGATTGTTTTGGGAAGACTAGTTCAACTGTACATGTCCAATAACAACTGGACTCATCCAAAAACCAAGACACATGGTTTGGAATTGGCCAAGGAAAGGGTATTTTCATGCTAAACACAGTGCTGCTGTACATCAACTGAGGATACTCCCAAGTTGCAAAGCTCCAGGCAGGTTTTCATAAGCCCGTGGGCAGAGACTGATACCACCTGCAGGCCTCTACACCGAACCTTATCGTTGGAGAGTTCATGAACATGGAGACAACTCAGCCCGTTGTCACCTAGTGTGATTCCTGGGCCTCTGTGCCAACCGTGCACGATCCTTTTATCTAGGAACCTAAGCTTAAGAATGGGAAGCATCTACCAGCCTCTGAGTTCCAACTGAAGATTGGCTGTCTATTGTGTCACCCAGCTAACCCCGTGAGGTGTCTCCATGGAGCCTCTCTTCCCATCTGCAGACTCTCCTTCGCCACTTACACGTTTCCCTCATTCTCTCTTCCACCTTTGCTTTGAAGTTTTATTTATAACGACAACAACAACAACAAAAGCTGGAAATAACCCAGATGTCCATTGAACAGTGAATGGACAGACTGTAATATATCCATTCAGTGGAACCCTCCAGCAATAAAAAAACCCCAAACTATTGATACATACAATGACGTGGCTGTATCACAAAAGGCTATGATGCACGAAAGAAGGCCAAGTGACTACTGTATGGTTGTATCTGTATGAAATTCTATAGCAGACGGAAAGCACTCTACGGTTCCAGAAAGCAGTCTGTTGGTAGCCTGGGGCTTCGGGGAGAGACAGACAACTTTTTGGAGTGAAGGAAATGCACTGTATCTGAACTGTGGTGTTTTTCAAAACTCACTGAACTGTCTATTAAAGTATGTGCATTTTATGATATCTAATTCTAACCAAATAGAATTGATTTAAAAAGAAAAAATCAATAGCAAAAAATTAAGAAATATACTTCTAAATAAACAATAGGAAAAAGAGGCTATACGAATATAGTGGTAAGAATCACTTAAAAAAAAACACTGCCCACATGAAATGTGCTTCCTAGTGGAATTCTAGAGTAAATTTTAATGGAAAATAAGATTGTTTCCAAATTTTCACTGTTATTGTTAAAGTTGAGCAAAAGTCAGAGGAATGTGAATTGGAGAAGAGAGGTGCTCCTAACTTTCCAAATGGTTGAGCCACAGATAAACCGTAGTTCGAAATGGAAAGACTCTCTTACCCTACTCGCTTTGAAGCACCTGCGCCTCTCCCTGAGGTCGTAGCTCTGTCAGAACAGGCACATCATAGATCCCCGTTAACTCTTTACATTTCTCTCACGGATCCTGGCTTCCAGGAAGTGAGAAGAGGGAATATTTGGTTCAGCTTCTAATAAGAAGCTATTGACCCTTGGGGAGAAGAAGGCTTGGAGGCAGGGTGGCAAAACTGCCATCCTCTGCCCAGGACAAATGTCCACTGTAATTATTCTGCTTCTTTAAAATGTGTCTATCCCTACATTTATGATTGTAAAGAACATGCAGCAACGGGGAAAACACTCATGATATCTTATTCATTAAAAAAACAAAGCATGTTACAAAATCAGATAGACACCTTCCTAACAACTTGAACTGAAACAGATGCATGAGGAAAAGAATGGGGAAAATGCACCAAATTCCTAACACCAGTAGTGCTAGGCTAGGCTCATAGGATTTGGGGTGATATATATTTTTTATAAAAGTAGAGAAACCACCAGCAGGCCAATTCTGTGCAAAGGCAGGACCCACTTGGCTTCCTCCATTGCAGAAATGTCTGTGAGAGAGACACGGTGGGAGGGGAGACTGGGCTGGCCTTAGGCTGGCTGGGAGGACTGAGGCTCATCACTTGTTTTCCACCTTTGAGTGCACAATCTAATAACAGGGGGCACCAAGGAGTCACCCTTTTTGGCCTCGAGTCTGTGAGGAGAGGCACCCAGAGCTCTGGTTCCCTAAGTCCTGTCTCATTGACCTGCCATGACCTAGAGATTTCTGGGCTGTGTCTGGGAAGGAGGTTCCAGTTCTGGCTGGAAAAATGGGAGGAGCACTTCCTCACAAGGGAGCAAAGGAGCATTGTCTCCTTAGATAACTTCTTGCCCGGAACCAAGAAGGAAATCATCAAGATGGTATGACCTGATAATTCAGGCTGCCTGCTCTGAGTCTCCTCTCCCCACCAGCTCCATGGAAGGAATGTGGCTTTCGGAGTCAAACATACCAAGGGGGAGGACCGCTTGACCTTGTGCAAGTTACTGACCTTCATTGAGCCTTATTTTCCTCATTGGAAAAGGGGGCAGGGGAGAAGAACCATCTATCTGAATTACTTAGACTTCTTTTGTTACAAATATTGGAACCTCACTCAAGCCAACTCCAGCAAAACACCAGGGAATTTGTTTTTTTAAAGACTGTTGGAGCGTCTCATGTAAGTTAAAAAGAAAAGGAACCAGGAGCAGGAAAACCGTCAGAAACCCAGAAACAATGATTCTTCTTTCTCTTCTATTTTGCTTTTGCCAGTTTCTTCATTCGTCTCCAACCCCACCCTCCAGGCTGTGGCTTCAGCTACTCATTGGGGAGGTTGCTAGGATAGGGAGGCTGACACATAAACTTGGCTGTGAAAGTCATTATTTGAAGATACTTGTTTGGGGACTTTACATATTGGTGACATAGGCCTCCCCCCCACCCCCCTGCCACACACACACACATTGGTTCTCATATTGACGAAGGGCCACATGTCACACAGCTTCTGCTGGGTGTTTGGTGGCTGTAAAAAACCTGCCTCCAGCGCACCATGTTCTCCGTTGTATCCAAGGGCACAGTGGGCCTGGGAAGTGATTTGTCTCATCCTCTGCGTGCTGTTCTGTCCACTTTTTCTGCATGCTGTTTTGCCAGCCACAGGCTTGTTTTATTGGCTTATAAAATTTCAACAGATGGTGGAAAGTGGGGAGTGTGGAAAAGAAAGCCTACTATTGTTTTTTTTTTTTAAACTTGCACAACAGTGGGGGAAAATTGTTCATGACGCATACTAATGTTTTGTGAATTTCTCTTCCTCTTTGTTTATTGCATGATTACAAAGAGATTGACCAGGGACAAGGAGGGAGGAAGGGAGAGAGGGAGAGGAACCAAAGTCAGAAATTGGTAACGAGTTTTGATTTGAGTTTCACCTCTACTGTTAAATTCTATCCTGTGAGTTTGGATAGGAGTCGATGGAAGACAAAATACTATTTTTAATGACCGTAAAGAGGAAGGTCGTTGTACCATTTCAGGGTTAAAGTTTATAGCATCAGTCAATAGAGTGGCTGACCTTTTCCAGGTTCCTAGAAGAGACACTCTGATTAGATCAGCTTAGGCAAACTGCCACTTTCTAGACCAATCAGCTGTGTCCAGGGAGTGGCGTCACGGCACACAGATGGCTTCCGGAGGTCCACAGCTCTGGCTAGAGGGCACGAGGGCAGGGTCTCGGGATACTGAACCTACACTCTGACCAGGGTCCACCACACGTCCTCAGGAGGTGAACTGAAGATTAGATTTGTGTTAAAAACCCAGCACCATGTCACAGACTGAAACAAAACAAGCATTTGTTTTCTTTTCTGAAACAGAGCCCTGTTTCCTGCCGGCTCAGGATGAGTTCACTGTTCCGGTTACTCTTGGCTCTGCTGATGTGTCTATGGCAGGGATAAGTAAAGTAAGTGTTTCTAAGAACCTGAAGAAACTGTTTCCTGAAGGAAGCTATTAGCTGTCACAAGTACCTTTCAATTTTCATTCTATTGAATAAAATACTCAGTCCTGAAATACTCCAGGCGCATATGAGCTAATGAGCGACCTCTTAGGTGATGCCATTAATCCTCACGGCAGTCCTTCAGAAGGGCAGGCGTTATTAGTCTCATTTTGCAAACGTGTTAATTGGAGATCAGGGAGGTTAAATGACTTGTTCAAGGTGATGTGAATTGTGGGTGCACTTTAACTTAAGTCATCTAATTCCTAGCTTAACGTCGTTTTCCTTAGAGTGTGAGGTCATTTTAGGGACCTCACACTCTCCTGTCTAGCTGGAGATATTTACTCCCGTGAACTTGGTGTTTGATGGAGGCTTGGGAAGGTTGGTTCACTTCATAAGCACTGTCAGGCACAGGCTGGGCATGGGCTCTGCGCCCAGAGAGCTCTCAGAGCAGTGGCACAGCTACGATATTGTTAAATGAATAGTTATGAGGTTGTTTAGTTGCTTTCACCCTAAATCCTATGTAGAAAATGTACAGGGTCAGGGGGAAGTGGTGAAATAGGCCAGAGAGAAAGAGAACTTAAAAAGCTTCCTGCCCTTAACCAAGAATTCTACTTTAAGATGTTTCTAATTTTTTTTTTTTGCCATTAAAACAATTCTGAAGTGAACATTTTCTTATTCCTATCCTTGCAGTACTGGTACTGGTATTTTCGGAAGATAGCATCTTAGATGTGGAATTTCTGATTCCAAGGGTATGGACATTAATTAGTTAATTGATTACCTAGTGTTTATTGGGTGGCAATCATATCAGCAGTGTATAAGAGTGTCTGATTTTGCCTTCTGGCAAATAGTGGGTTTTATCCATATTTGCTAAATATTTGCTGTAATATCTATTATCTTTTTAGAGTTTAAATGAGGTTTAGCATATTTTCATATATGCTCATGATTTGTATTTTTTTTTCCCCTTGGAGTCTGGTCTTACCCTTCACCTGGTTTCATTTGTTTGTTTTCTATTGAGGTGTTTGCCCATTTCACATTGACTTGCAGTCACTCTACATTCTGGATATTATTTTTAATCTATTACACTTGCTGAAAATATTTTCTCTCAGGCTGTTACGGTTTGTTTTGAACTCTGTTGCGGTGTCTTTGTGGCACAGACTTTCCACTTCTGTGTTGTCACAGCTGTCAGAGCTTTTCGTTTATGCCCTCTCCGTGGTATGCCGTGCTGAGGAAGGCTTGCTTAGCCTTAAAACTAGGAAAGTATTTTCCTACATTCTTCTAATGCTTTTGTTGCTTCATGGTTCATCTTTTGATGTTTAACCCCTCTGGAATTTGTTTTGTATATGGCATGAGGGAGAGATCTAACTCTTTTTTCAAAATAGGAAGACTCATCACAACTGTTGAATATTGCTTCTTTTCCCCTCCACCTTGAAACTGCGCCATCATATACCATATGCCCACATATTTATTCCTCTGTATTTGGGCTGAAAAGAATTAATTCTAATCTATAATGGTCACCATATCAATATTACTTATCTAGATGTGCAGTTTCCCAATATGGAAATTAAACTAATTTTCCTGCAAGGAACAGTTCCTCCAGACTCGGATTATTCTTTTGCCCCTCATACCTTCCACCCTTGAGGCTGATTTTCTTTCTTCTGTTGCACATTATTCTGTGTTATCCCTGGAACATTTCACCATGTGAATAGACTGGATTTCCTCAACAAATGGAGGCAAGTCTGGTAGCCTTTCTTTTGCACACTCCCCAACAGCATTAGGTTGCATGTGGAGCACTGAACTCAGCCAGTTTCAGGACACGTTGCCTTTCCGTTGTGCTCTAGGGCTTGTTCTTGTTTGCTTCCAGGAGACATCTCCATCTCCTGGACTCTTAAGAGTGGGAAGAAGTCACAGGTCATCGGAGTCACATACAGGGTCTCAGGTCCCACCCCTAAACTTTCTGATTTGTTGGTTTGAGGGTTAACCTTAGAATCAGCACTCTCAAAAAACCAGGCCTTTGCTCTCCCTGCAGGCTAGTCTCTGACTTGTAAATAAGATGAGAGCTGGGCAACCAGAGCTGTGAGAACAAAACATCTGGGCAGCCAATGATTCTCTGGGGCTGCTGTGTCTAGTTTCACAATAAGAGATGCTACAAAGGAGCTCTTGAGTCGGTTTACTCCAAAGGCCACTTGGACATTGACTTCAATGAAACAAGCTGGAGGTATCTTCCTAAAACTAGCCAGTAAAACAAAACAAAACAAAACAAAACAAAACAAAATAAAGTAAAATAAAGTAAAATAAAATAAGGAAAATCCAAAAACACTAGATCATAAATATCTGTTGAGGGTCTTGCGTCCTTTCAGAATAAATGGGGATTACTCATTAACCTCTCCCCCAACTTCTCTCTTTTCTAAAGACATTATCAGAAGGAAGATTTCAATGCTAACATCAGTCAGTTGCCGTGGAAGCTGACCCAGAATGAACCATTGCTTCTTCCTACCATCTCTTCTGGAAATTATTGAGAGCTAGATGCCAGAGACTACAATTTGGGAGAATGCCAGGAGTTTGTTTATTCTGATCTGCTTCCTTAGAGATGCAAATGCATAAAGGAGTTATGAGCATGATGGTTGGAATCATAATATATGAGCCTGCCATTTCTATATCAAGGCCTAATGGGTCTTGCTAAAAAAAAAGAAACAACCCCCCCCAAAAAAAAACAGAGAGAGACAAATGGGTACTCTGTCTGTCAAGAGAAGAGATTTCAAGAACTTTTACTTCTTATAATTGAAGTCCGGACTGAACAACTAGTTCATATATAAAGGATTCTATTTCTCAAAGCCAACACATATGCAAAAGGTACCCTGTCTCAGTATAGACAGACACACAAATGCACACACGTGAGTGTTCATCTTCCTGGTTGAGAGACAGCTGCTACACCTAAAACTGTGTTCCTGGTGTAGGCAGGAAGACAGTGGAAGGGCAAAAGGTAGAGAGTCAAGACAGTCCAGTCTGTCCTTAAAAAGGGCTCTCCTGGAACCCCTGCCCAGCCACTTCCCCTTCCACATCAGCGGTCAGCTCCAGCAGCAGGGTAGCTGGGGATATGAGCATCACAGTTGGGCATAAGTCTACCTCTGGCAAAACTAAGACTCTGTTGGTCTGTGAAAGGAAAGAATGAATACTCATACCGGCGTGCCTCACTTTTATCACACTTTGCGTTGTTGCCCTTTGCAAATATTGCTTTTTTTTTTTTTACAGGTTGAAGGTTTGTGGCAACCGTCACTGAGCAAGTTTATCGGCGCCAAAAAGATGACGACTCCCTGAAGGCCCAGAGGATGGTTAACACAGTTAAGTAATGAAGTGTTGTTTCATTAATGTGTGTACATTGTTCTTTTAGACACAGTGCGATGGCACACTTTATAGACTGCAGAACTGAGGAAGCATATGTCCTGAAAACCAAAACATTTGTGTGGTTCGCTTTATTGCAGCACTTGCCTTACGGTGCTACTCACGTAACTGCGGTGGCCGGGAACGCAGTCCGCAGTATCTCCGAGGTCTGCCTGCAGTTAGGTAGCAATGCCTGTCTTGGCACACCTCCAGAATATTTCCCGGAGCTACGCACTTTCCTGGCTTTCCAGCCCCCGCATCTGTGTTATAGCGCAATCCACTATCACCTGGATTCCCTTCAAATGGGTCTCCCTACACAGAAAATGCTTCTCTCTTTTAAAAGTATTTAGCTTTATGTTGCTCTGCTGCTTAAGACTTTAATGACTACCTATTTGCATTAGAATACAAGCCACTTATTTTTCTAAGATCCAAAAGGCCCACATAGTTGGGTACCTCCCACTGAATTTTGTCTTTTCTTCCTCCTTGGTTAGCCCAGGCCTGTTGGCCTCCCTGTAGTAATTTAAGCAGGCCATAATCTTTCCAGTAGCAGGGACTATATACTTGTTTTTCTTTCTGCTTGGCATCGCTGTCTCAAGTTTTTGTTCAAACTTTTTAGACTGCCCCATCCAGAACACTTTGACGTGTCCAGTTAGCTTTTGCAGTGAAACACGAACCCGGCAGCTGCTGTGGAAGAATTTTGTAAGTGTAATTAATGCCCATGGTCAATTTAAAGACAGGAAGTTTATCCTAAACAATCCAGTAAATAATGCCCGATTCAATCATCTAACGGGTTTAAGAGCAGAACTGAGACTCCCATGAAAAGGAACCCTGGCCCTGGCCAGGTGGCTCAGCATTGTCCTGTACACCAAAATGTTGTGGGTTTGATCCCTGGTCAGGGCACACACCTAAGTTTCAGGTTGATCCCCAGTCGAGGCATATAGGGGAAACAACTGATGGATGTCTCTCTCTCGCTCTCTCTCTCTCTCATACACACACACACACACACACACATACACACATCAGTAAATGTACCCTCTGGTTGAGGATTAAAAAGAAATCCGGTCTGTGGATAGCAGCCTCCACCCTTGCGCAGATGACCAGCCTGCCCTTGCCGACTGGCTGCCCTGTGGGGTTGTTGCGGAAAATAACTCACACGCGGGAGAGATGGCGGAGCACGATCCTTTATTAGGCTCTCGGGCTCAGAGGAGAAACCCAAATTCTGAGCCCCGAACTTTGAACTCTCAGGGTCTAAATAGCCCCGGGCTTCCTGCCTAGGTGTCGAAGCAAGGTTACAGAAGCCCAAATGCGGAATTTAGATCTAGTTACCTTATTTGGCTAGGACAAAGAACAAAGCACAGGGGCTCCACACGGAAGCACAGGAGCTCAACACGGCGGTTGCCCGTCACAGGGTTGGGACTTGCCTCGCCAGGCCCCACAGTCGTGTCAGCCGATTCCCTGCAATGAGCGTCCTGACCTGTATCTGCTCCTGGTCCCGCTTCTCTGGGCGACTCTGGCTCATGCAGCCCTCTCCCACCTCCGGGTCTCTTCATCACACAACCCCATTTGTGTCCTCGAAAGCGTGGGGTCCTGTCTGAAATTAGAAAATAGGGTGTATTGAGATATGAATAAAGTCTCATTAACTGCCCCAGGCTCAGGCTCCTCTCCTCTGTGCTTCCAAATTTGAAATTATTCTTATTCCCCAAATTAAAAACACAAATTCTTGTAGAATTAATTTATCAGTTGGTGGACTGAATGGATAGTAAACAGCATTTAAATTATTGGTAAATGTCGATGCCTCTTTTGCTGGTAAAACAAAATGTTCACTATTCCATATTGTTATTGTTATTTTTCCCCAAACCAATCTGTTGGTTGTGGATATTGAAAATTCTATAACTGATGGTGGCCATTATTGTGCTATTATTTTAATGTTTACGGTTATTGATAATTTTAAATGCTTCTCTGTTACGTAACAATATTATCTAAACTTTTTATTATCTGCCGGTGCTAAGCTCAATACAAAGAAAAATGTGTCTTAGAAAAATCCATCGCTGGCATGAAGCCAGGTGCAGTGAAATGCTCCGCAGGCTGCGATATGCAGGAAATGCAGCTTACAAGACTGCTCCCTGTAAACCACGAGTGCTTGTGTTGAGAGAAACAGAACGCAGAGCAGCACTTTGCTGTGGGTACAGCTTAGGTTCACAAACAGCTCTCTCACTGGACACAGTAGTGGGGAAAATTAAAAATAAAACCGATGACTACACACCTGTAAGAACGAAATTGCTTGTAGCTTTCTGTGTTTGGAGAGCATATCTGCCAAACTTTCTTCTACATGTTGCTACAGGACAATTGGTCCTAAGATGTAGGAATTGAAGAATCACATTCCTTGCATGAAACGGGACAGCCTCTGGCTGGAAAGGCCCATCTGAGCTGGGGAGGACGAGGGGCAGGAAGGCTGAGTGGGCTGGTGAAGCGGCGAGTGGTGTAGCTCGGTGGGAGCACCGAGCAGAGGACACTGAGGCTGGGAAGGATTTAGGAGCATCCGCAGAAAGTCTCCCATTCCCAGACAAAGCACTGATGCTTAGTTTGGGAGGCAGTAGGAGGGTAACTGCAAAGTTTTTGAGCAGGGCAGTGATACTATACCTGACTTTGTAGGTGTGCTCCTCAAACCTGAGTATTAAGTGAATGACCGAGCAACTGTCTATTGGAAGTCACCAGTACCTCTACAGGGCAGACATTACGGGAGACGTATCCAGGTCCGAGATGCAGCAGAGGTGTGCTCCTGAAATTCCCCTGTCTGCCAAGGTGAAGTGCGTTATCTCCCTCTCCACCCCACACCTGCTTCCACAGAGCGAGCAACGACAGGGGCTTGCTCTCGATCCCTGGGATCTCAGGATTCTGAGGAACCAGGAAAAATGTCTCTGAAACACATTTGGTCCATATAAATGAGGACTCATTTTTTTCTTCTAATAAGGGTTTGCTGCTGGCAGAGTCACACAGCTGTTTCCTAAATCAAAGCATATTTTTTAGATTATTTTTTATGGATGGCATTGGGGTAATTGCTTCTGTTAAACATCTGTTCTATAATTAGAAAACAAACTATTCTTTGCCCCAGTGGAGTATAATTACTTTTGGGTACCAGAGGGAAAGTTTTAGGGACATCATCAAAATTCAATGAGGATTGTTTGCAGTAGAGTTTTTCTATCTCTTTCTAAATTAGCTAAGAGACTATAAAATCTGTGTTTATTAGTATTTTATAGGCTGTAATAGAATAAAGCAAAACTCCCAAATCTGTAAAAGGGTTTTTTACTACAAATGACTCCAGTGAATTACACTCCAGCAATTCAAAGGAATTTCATTTTGAAAAAAAGAGAGGGCCTGTCAGAGTTAGGGGTCTTTCCAGGCCAGCCCCTAAATAGTTATAATTCTAGGGCATCATTCACACCCTTAAGTTTAAGTTCTGCATTTGAAAAAAAATGACTATTATGGATGCCCTGGGCTTGCTCTGATTTGCTCCTCATGACTCTGTACTGTGGACCTTGGCAGGATCCCACACATCCTGAGAGAATGGCACCATGACATCTGGTTGTCAACCTCGTGCTCTGCTTCCCAGTATGTCACTTCCGTCGTACCTGCCACTACACACCTGTACACCCTGAATTCTCCATTATCTGTGGTTCTCCCCACATCACACCCAAGCCCTGATCTTACTCTTTTCCTTTGTTTTCCATAGAACGAGCTTCCTTGAGCTCCCCCATCCCAACCCTGCTGTGATTTCATCAGTTTCCCACCTTCATCCCCATTGCATTTCTCACTGCCACCTGGCAAGTTTCCCAAAGTCGACGCCTTCCTGGAGCTAGTCTAACAAGTGTAAGGTCATTTGTTCTCCTTTCTTTACTCGCCAAGCTCCTTGTCCTGTGCAGGCCCCTCTTCCTCTGACCAGGAAGATTGCTCCTCCCTACAGCTCCGTCCCATGCTCTTTCCTCACTCTGCAACCCTTTCCCAGGTGACTTCATCCTAGCCCTTTGGTTACTGTCTGTTTGTTGTAAACGTGCAGTCCAAACATTGGTCCAGCTCAGTCTTCGAAGCTCCAGGTCCATGGAGCCAACCACTGAATGTCTCCTCTTCCATGTTGTATTAGTTTTCCAGGGCCTCCGCAATGAGCTCCTACAGGCTGGGTGGCTGAAAACAGCAGAAATGGCTAGATAACAGGGAAATGGGAATTACTCTTATTGGTGAAGGCAATAGTGTTTTATCTAGCATAGCAACTGTTAGAAATGAGCTCTCATTGGAGAGATGAAGGTATTCAGGTTTTGTGTTTGGCTGAAATGTTTTGGAGACAGACACCTCTTACCTTCATGACCAGGGAATGAAAAGCTTGCAGGGTATAGCCTGTACTCTTCAAGTGGGCCTCTGAGGCTGGGTCAGTGAGTGATCTTGTGTTCAGCCTGTGACATATCTGGTTTCCAGAATCAGACTGGGAGTAACTGAATCCTGCTTCTGGAATGTTGCTGTTTTTCTTGACTAAGCCTTTCCAATAGAGGTGGTGTTCATAGCTCCCAAAAGACAGAGAACTGGGAATTCATTCTTATCTACAGAACCAATTGTATGCAGTGTTTGTGTCAGTTTATCAATTAATGTTCGTTGAACAAATGTTCATGTAACAGGGAGAATTTGGTCTGAGATTTTCTTTCTTTATAAACTGCCAGGAAGGTTAGGAGAGAATAGCTAAAACTTCCCGCTTCTAAACATTTTTTTTTTAGTAGCTACCATTATCTACAAAAAGAACTCACAAGGTGCGCATGACTCCTAGGCCAGCTCACAACATTAAGCTCATGTAGAAATAATAGACCAATTCATTCATCAATTTATACATTGAAAAATTAGACTTCAGATTCACAAGCACAAAGTCCTTTATCTGGACAACTTCAATTTGTTGTTCTGAAGGAAAACTTCTTTTAAGCCTCAGGAAATACCTAGGAGAAGGTGGAAGAAGAGTAATTCAAACATTTGGGTCCAAGAGAACAAGGACTCGGATGCCCACTCTGGGGAGACACCATGCAGAGACTGGCGAGATGCAGGCCCCTGGAATGCAGTGGCCAGGAGGGAAAGACTTTGGTTGGGAAAAACATGTCCCATTGCAATTATCTCTGCCCATAAGGATTTGTGCCTTATTTCCTTCTCTTAAATCAAGACCAGACCAGGCCCAAATGCCAGGGAGTTCATAACAGCAGTGACCTACCGATTAGTAAGACAGTAGAATTAAGGACAGACTCATCCGGCCTAAGGAAACAGTAGCTAAAGATTCAAGCCCAGCCTGTCATTGTCTTTCCTTCAGCATTTCCTTTAGTCTGAGATGCGAGGTCAGCATCTAGGGGACCAAAAGGCAAGCAGCACAGCACCCACGGGGGGAGATTTTGTTTGGGGCTGAACATTGTCTTGACTCACCGAATATTTATCTCAGTATTTCAACCTCTGGAAGGGGTAGTGGTAAGAAAGGGAGGTGGATAAATGAAGGAAGAGTATATGTTCCTCTCACCCTTCCCCACTTTCGATTTTAAATGTTACTAAACTGATTTCATATTGACTTCCCCTTACTCCAAGGCAAACTGTTCTATTTCTTTTTAAAAAATGTTTATTTATTTATTTTTAGAGTGAGGGGAAGGGAGGGAGAGCAACCTCAATCAGTTGTGTCTCATATATACCTCGACCAGGGACCAAACCCATAGCCCCGGCTTGTGCCCTAACTGGAAATCAATCTGTGACCTTCTGCTTTGTGGGACGACACCCGACCAAATGAGCTACACCAGTCAGGACCAAACTGCTCTATTTCTTATTCAGTCTTTACAACGTACTGATCTGTGACACACTTCGGAGTAAGTGGTGTTGGCAATGTCGGGACCGGGGGAAGGTAAGAATTAAAAAGAGACTGGCCAGCCCAGAACAGAAGGAGGTAGGGGCAGTGTAAATAAGTTTGATAGACAGAAACAGAACAAAATAAAGCAAACAAACACCAGCTGGCCAACCTTCCTGAAGGCTGTGACTGATCACTTTCCAGAGGCTAAATTCTCCATCTCAGCAAGATGCCCAGAGAAGTAAGACGTGAGAGTGGGTCCAGGCTGGAGACGAAGCAGCTGGGTGATAGCGTGATTATGTGATAAATGACGCATACGCTGGCCCTTCTCTGCTCCCGCGTCTGTGGCGGGTCAGTCGACCTCTTCACACGTGGCATGCTGGCTCTGGAAATCTGAGCACCTTCCAAGCCTTGAAGGTATTTCCAGAGTCTGGTGATCCCAGACTAACTTTTAAAAGAATGAATTCCAAAAATGTTCTAAACAAACAGCTAGAACAGGAACAGAATCACAGAAATGGAGATCACATGGAGGGTTATCAGTGGGGAGGGGTGAGGAGGAGAATGGGGGGAAAGGTACAGGAAATAAGAGGCATAAATGGTAGGTACAAAATAGACAGGGGGAGGTTAAGAATAATATGGGAAATGGGGAAGCCAAAGAACTTACATGTTCAACCCATGGACATGAACTAAGGTGGGGAATAATGGTGGAAGGGGAGGTACAGGGCACAGGGGACTAAAGGAGAGGAAAAATGGGACAACTGTAATAGCATTATCAATAATATATACTTAAAAAAATAAAAGAATGAATTCTAGACCCAGAGGGGACCTTAAAGGAGATTCATTGCAAGCCGCCTTCTCACTGTGCATGAGGACAAACTGAGGCCCTGCAGAGGGAACGTGACTGACCCACGGTGACCATCCCCGAGGACACAGGCCCCGCTCACCCCTGTCTCCTCAGGGAAACAGCGTAGTTTCAAGTCAAGTCCTTCCTACATTGAACACAATGGCAGTTTGCTTCTCTGAAACTTCTAGAAGAGTTTTCAGCTCCTTTGCACTCAGGAGAAGGTCAGGATGATCTAGTTTCTTCTATATGTGCAGAAACTCAGGGCAACCACGTTAAAATTTTTTATTGTGGTAAAATACACATACCATAAAATTCCCCATAGGGACCATTTCTAAGTGTACGGTTTGGTAGCATTACGTACACTTACATTGTTGTGTGACTGTCACCAGCACCCGTCTCAAGAACTTCATCCTGTGACACAGGAACTCTGTGCCCACTGCACACTAACTCCCCGCTTCCTCTGCCCAGCCCCCGCCACCTCCATTTACTTTTGTCTTTCTGGTTTCTGTCTTACCGTTTGTCTTTCTGCTCCAGGGGGTCTCACGGACGTGGACTCTGCCACGTTTGTTCTCTCATAACCAGTTTATTCCACTTAGCACAATTTCATCCAGGTTAATAAAGCCTATGTCAGAACTTCCTTCCTTTTGAAGTCTGAATAATATTCCATGGTGTCTGTGAGCTGCATTCTCTCGTCTGTCCATCCTGGCGGACACGCGGGTTGCGTCTCCACTTTAGCTGTCGCGAATAACACTGCTCTGTACACACCTAAGTATCTCTTTCAGACTCTGCTTTCAATTCACTGGATACACACCCAGAAGTGGAATTGCTTGATCGGACAGTAACTCTATTTTTAGTTTTGTAAGGAAATGCCTTACTACTTTCCAAGGTGGCTGCACCATCTTACGTTCCCACCAAGGCTGGAATTCACAAAGGTTGAAGTTTCTCTGCATTTTTGCTAATATTTGTTCTTTTCTTTTCTTTTCTCTCTCTCTCTTTTTTTTTTAAAAAAAGAGTATCCCTCCTAGTGGATGTGAGATGGAGAGCAACTACATTTTAAAGCAAATTTGTTCTCAGTTGGACAACCTTATGATAGTATTTCACCCATGTGAATGTAAGTAAGGCTGTTTCCCCATTAGTATTCGGTTATGATGGTGTTGTTACGTGAGGACCAGACAGGCAGGTCCAAGCAGAAGGGCTTGGTCGGGCCACGAGAAAACTGAGAAGAACCCAGCACAGTGCTTCCTGAGGGGGCGAGAGAAGCGAGGGCAAGTGGGGACAAGGCCCAGCTGAGTCGGTGAATGCCAGGCTTGTCAAATTACACCTCTTGGACCAAGATCCTTATTAAGGACCTGCACCTCGGAGACATTGTGGCCACCGAGGTGCATCGTTAGGGTAGACTGGGCATGATAATAGTAATTGAAATAAAGTTAAAAGAACGGTCTAAATTAGAACAGGTACTCCCGTTTCCACTTCTCTTGCGGAGACTCTGTGGGTTGAAGAAAACTCACCCCAGGACTCATGGGCAAAACAGTCTTCGGGAGGAGCACGTTATGAGTCCGTGAGCGAGGTTTGGAAACGTTTGCACATCCCCTGGTGTCAAGGGCTCTATTGTTTCCTTCCAAGTCATTTCATTACAGAACAATTTCAGCAGCAGCTTGGTCTGCCCTGTGACTCAGTCATGTTCTGCTAGGGCTTTTCATCATCTGCAGCTGCGTCCCTTCCAGCACGGTCATTGCTGCCCAGCTACACGGCTTCCTGCAGCGGGGAGTTTCACAAGGACCCTCTTGGGGAGTCTCAGGTGGAGGACGGACCACTGTTTCTGCACTTGTCCCTAGCTGTGCTCCTGTAGCCTTTCCCATAGTCTATACCCAGCGGGGTGACGATGAGACAGCTTCATGGGAGAAAAGGAGGAGGGAAGCGTCATTTCCCCGCTGTACTTCATAATCCCCAGCAGAGGAAATGCATGGCAGAGGTGTGGGAGTTTGGCTGACTTGTGGCAAAAAATAAACGTGGTTTCCTGTCTGCCTCTTATTTTCATTCCTAGGTGGTGAGGAGTTGCTGGCTCTTCCTGTCAGAACCAACATTTTCTGCAGTCAAGGAAGGTGTCATTGAAGGGCCAACACCAGTACCTGCAGCCTTCCAGAAATTCTCACCTCTCACTCATTAGTATCATTCCTTAAAGTAATATTGAGTGTTTTAAATTGGGCTAAATCATTGCGCTACATGAAGTGTTGGAAGGTTGACACCTTGAAGCATGATAACTTTTTCATATGTCTGATTAGTTTAAAACAATTACAAGTTCAGAGAATACTTAGTTGTCTGTCTGTTCACCTATATACACCCATAACCATCTATCCATCTATCCACATCCACCCATATCCATCTGTCCACCCATCCATCCATCCTTGAGGTGCCTCTTTACTCCTAGCTAATTTCATCAACTCTAACAGTGATCTTATATGGTCCTGTGACATCTAATAATTCCATATGTATATATCAGCTTTTCTAGTGTGACTGTAGCCTCCTGAGTGGAGGGACAACATCTAATACTTAAAATGTCAGGAGAGCATAGAGCAAAAAGCCAGGTATGCAGTAGATGTGCAATAGATTGCTGTTAAAAGAGAATGAGACCTGGGAAATGGTTTGCCCAGCCTGGCGAGGGAGAGAGGACCCCAAGCAAAGCCCTCCTCCATGTCCCTGCAAGCCTGCTACAACGTGCCCGTGGCCGTCTCAGACTGTGATTTACAAGGTGGGCGAGCCTGCCTCAATTACCCAGAGCGCACCGTGCTGCCCCAGGGAGGGCCTGCCAATTGCAGGGCAGTCTGCCGGCATTCCTTTTTAGTTCTTGGAACTTTCAAACATCCTGTTCGCCCTTGGTCACAAGCACACTCACCTCAGAATCACCTCATGCTCTCCTTCGCCTTTCCAGTAACATCTGTCACATTAGTGCAAAACCACACTTGATTTTCCAAAGCCTGGCTGCCATGTTTTTTTTTTTTTTTCCGTTCATCCACTTCTTTGCCAGACATTTAATGAGTAGCCATTAAGTACCAGACATCGAACTGGGCTTGGGGGACTACAGTGGTGAATAATATATAATTACTGCTCTTTAGGAAAGCAGGGCCCTCAAGACAGACAACAGACAACCACCATTCATTGTGATAAACATTATAACAGTGGAGCAAAATAGAAGGCACTAATTCTGCCTGTGAGCTGGGGGGCAGCTTCACGGAGAAGGTGCCTTTCCAGGTGATTCCTGGGAGTATGCGGGAATTCCCCAGGAGCTAAGGAGAGGAAGGACAGTCGCAGCAGAGAGAATATCATGGGCAAAGGTAAGAGTGTAATAATCTAGGACAGCCAATGATGAAGAGAAGCTGGTGTGAGTGCAGGGGCGTGGGTGTGAGGGTGTGGAATTTGAAGACGGGCCTGGGAGAGTCAGGAGAGGAGGCTGTTCCAGAGGAAGCAAGCTAAGAATTTGAGCTTTTCTTTTGTAGGGGCAACGGGGGAGCCATTCAAAGTGTGGAGAGGCATAATCATGTTTGTGCTTAGGAAAAATCTTTCTGATGAGGAGACCGGTTGTGGGGCTATTATAAATGTAGGTGAAGGCTAAAGCTAAGACAGTGGAGGAGGATGGAGAGGAGAGATGTAATTAACATGAAAGATGCTTAGAGGTAGGAGCAACAGGTGGGCCACACACACATGCACACCCTCACTCACAGAAGGGAGGAGAGAGAGAGATGTGAAGACTGATCCTAAGATTTCCAGTTCCAACAGCTTGGAAATGGCAGCTTCATTACATGAGACGGGGCAGGTGGGGTGGGGGTGGCGAGTTAAGACATCAGAGGAAATGTGAAGTTGTGGGTTTGGGACACATTGCACTCAGAGACCCCCAGGCAAGTCTAGAGCTCAGGGGGAGAGCAATGCAGTTACAAACGGTGTTGTTTCAGGGCCACAGGACATCTCTGCCCTTGACTCTCAGACCAGCAACTTTAGGGTAGAATGGGGAGATTGACCTTCCTGAACGTTAGATAGGCTTGAGTTTCAAGTTCTACCAGCATCATTTACTAACGGCCTGACCTTTCACGGGTTACCCAATAGCCTGCTTGCACATCTGAAAAATGCAGGAATGTAATACCCGTCTGCAGTGTTGCCATATCAGTCTGTTGGGCTGTGTGCCAAGGCGCAGGAGATGCTCTGTAAACAGCAATCAGCACGGCACAAAGTTCTAACAGGACCATGCTCAGCACTCAAGGAGACTCTGCGCAGACTGAGCTAGTCCCAAGATTTTCAACAAAACAAAACAAAACAAAACAAAACAAAAAAACCCCCAGAAGATCATTCTGGGAAATGCTTCCGAGCCAGGTGCAAGCTTCACTTGGCTTACTGAGGCCCTCGTCCCCCCTTCATTCCTCCTGGGGGAAGGACCCTGGGGCCCGAGACCCAGCTCGAGTGCTCCCTTTCCTGGCAGTCAAAAAAAATTGGAAAAAAACCCCAGAGCTCTCTGTCCACACAGCAGCCCTCAGCGATTACGGCAATTGCTCAATTACATGGTTATTCACAACGTGCAGATTACAGGGTTACTTAGTTGAAGGCTCGGTGCCTCCACCAGATAAAACTAAATTAAAAAAAACATGCAAACGTTGGACATTCTCTGAGCATATGGCAGCATTTAGTTCTAGTCAGCAAGAAATAAGAACAAAGCAAAACAAAACTGGAAGTTTTTGTTTGTTTTGTTTTGCTTCTTAAGGGTATGGATGATCTGAGACCCAGACCTTGTATAAAGCACAAGCCTTGTTTGAAAATACCTGATATTAAGAAAATAATCAAAGTACAGGCTATGTGCAATTTTGATGTGAGCCCAGTTCCAGTCGTGTGTTGCTAGGTCTGTGTCATGGGCCTTGGAGTTGTTTTGCATGCAGAGGGTGGTCCGTAGGTCTCCAGTCCAGCCAAGACAAGCCATCTTATTCTAGCAAACGGCACCACCATCTGCCCAGTTGCTCAAGCCAGAAATCGAGAAGCTATTTTGGAAACCTTTTGCTCCCAAGGCTGTGACGTCCCCTCAGATATAAGTGCTGCCGGTGTCCCCCAAACTGTGTCTCAGACCCATTGCCACCCTTCCCTCTCTTCTGCCTTGGCCAGAGCGTCAGATCTCTTGCCTGGACCAGAGCATTAGTCCCTGGACTGGTCTCTTATCTCTGACACTCTGCTGCTCTTTCCATATGGCAACCAGGGTTGTCCTTTGGATAGACAAAACGGCGTGGCTCTCCGGGACTCAAAACCCTTCAGTGGGTTCCCAGTGCCCTTGGGGTGACATTGAAGTCTTTGCCGTGGCTTCTGAGGTCGCCCCACCCCATCGCCAGGGGCTGGTGCCTTCTACCCTCCTCCGGCACCTCTCTTCCCCCTTCACTGTCTCCCGCTCCTGACACCCGGGCCCTGCTTTTTGTTTCTTGAAAGCATTGTTCAAGTCTCAGGGAAAGGTAAGGGAAAAACAGTGACAGCTACTCATTATGTTGCAGACATGACCTTGTTGTGAGAGGCTCGCCACAATGCTTTCTCCCATGGGAAGGACCAAAGGGCACTTGGGGCAGGAGCTCAGTGAGCTGGAGCAAGCTCGACTGTCAGGTGTCCAAGCGGCCGATTCCAGCAACGAGTCCAAGCTGGAAGAATCCAGGCTTTGCTCTCTTACTGCCATGGTATAAGCATGGGTCTAAAACTGGAGAAAATGCTGACTCCCCTGTTGCATTTTTCCCCGTGCTACCCCGAGGGTCAGGAGGCTCAGTGTGGGCGTGGTCTCACTGTGGAGCGGAGCCCCTATCCAAAGGCACTGGCAGTTCTATGGATCTTGAAGTTGAAGGAGAGGAGAGGGGAAAAAGCTGGGAGTGGAAGTGTTGGGTACCAAGTCAGGCTGGGGACAAATGTCTTCAAGGTTCTCTCTCATGCCCTCCCTATAAGGACGCATCAGCAGAGACACCTAGGTCTCAGACCAGGACACCTAGGAAGCAAGGTGTCTGAGCTAGGAGCACAACTATGCAACTGTCACTGCTGGCCAGAGGGGCCTGAGTCCTTGACTTGACCTCCCCTCAGAGTGTGCAGTGTGTGGTGGTCACCAGGCCCGGTGTGGGGAGCGCAGCTTTCCCATGAGACCTGCGCGAGACAGGGGAGGGACTGCATGTGGTCAGGCCTGAAAAGTCCCACAGAAGCTTTCACCAGGGGCCGGGCTCCTCAACATCCCCCAGCACCTTCCCCGACGTCCCACGGTCATAAGTGGCAGAACTCGAGCCAGCCCTGAGCTTCTCACCATACCAGAAGCCTTCCACCCGTGCCCTGCATTGCTTCTAACCTGTTTCCCATGGACCCTGCCCACCCCCAGGCTCCAGCCTCTCCCTTGCAGGGTTCTTGCCACTGAACCTGCCTACCCTGCTCGGCTGCCAGGAGGTCGATGTTCTCACTTTGACAAGTAGTGACAAATGAGTCTGTTAGCATCAGTCATACACGCATGGGTGGTTTTATCAGGAGAGCTAAGAAGACGGCAAAGGATGAATAAACCGTAGGGTGGAATGGGGTAGGAATGTGTTTGGTGGTTCTGAACAGGGTGGAATACACTCATAGTTGTGGCTTGTCAGGCTGTTGGGCACAGGGCAGGCCTGGGAAAGCCCATCTGGGATGCAGAGCCGTCCGGTCAAGTGCCTGCCGGAGAGAGGGTGCAGGCTCGAGACAGACGGCACTGGTATTGGCTCTTGAAACTTCAGTTTCCTCATCTGCAATAATAGTGGATTAGGACAGGGGAACCATAGTGTAGATTAATGAGGCAAATCCACAAAAGCCTTTAACACAGGGCCTGGAACAGAGTAGCTGCCCAGGGTGTGGGGGCTGCTGTGATTGCTATTATTTCTCACCTGTGAGTCTTGCCTGGCTCAAGTCCTAGGGCAGAAGAAAAGCTTTGTCTATGCAGATCTTGCTTTGTGCATTAATGGACTCCTGCCAAGATGTGTGTAAATCAGGTTTATTGCCAGTGGTGGGTTACATCTACAGTTATTCTTCAATGCCCCGGCATGTGGCCTACGTGTCAGAAATCTCTGTGAGTCTCCAGCTTTCATCGCCTTGCACTGTGATTGTCCGGAGCTTGATCTCTGCTTGGGTCTGGGGGTGGGGGGTGGGGGGGCTATTCCTTGTTTAAAAGAAAACATGTCGAGGTGAAGTGGCACTGATGGGTGCCCTCCCTGGCACCCCTATGCAGCCTGCCCTTCTGTGTGACCCCTCTCCCTGCACCCGAGAGTAGAAGCAGGTGAGAAGGAGAGGCTCATGGTTAGAATAAAAAGAAAGAAAGAAATACAGGAGTTTATCCACAAACTGCCAGGTGATGCAGAAGATGTGCAGGATGGTTTCTTAATCCAGAAGGCAAATCTGCCTGTGGGCAGGGAGAATAGTGACAGGGATGGTATCAGGCAGCCGGCTGCCACAGGTCCTTCTAGGAAGGGAACTGAGTGAGTTCTTGACTTCTTTTGCTGGCAGATATTACTTTCCACCAGCCATTGTCCTACTTTCCTTTTCTGATGGTAGAACTTGCCTCCCAGTAAATACCCAATATTGACTTTCCCAGCTTCATTTGGGGTTATGCTATGGGTAAAGCACACCATCCTGGCCAAGGATAATTGCTGAGAGATCTGATGAGTGGTTCTTGGGAGAGGTTCTCTTTCTGGAGTGTGTGTGTAGTGTGAGTAGAAACTTCAGCCTTCTAGTATTTAGTGTGCTCATGTGACAATGTGGTATTTGGTGCAGTGGCAACCATTTTGTGACCATGAGGAACTAGTCCCTGGGCTAGCATCCAACACTCTGGGGATGGTAGACCAGAAGGATAGAAAAAGCAGTGTCTTTGATTTATTCAACTATAACCAACCCATCCCCATCTTTTTAGACTGTTGAGAAAAGTATAGTTAGTGAAGATTCAGTTCTACTTGGGTAGTACATCTTCTAATTGTTTCACCCTCCCCAAAATGTTCACATAGAGGCATGTTGGTGGAATTCCTTAACTTATCCAAATGTTAAGTCAGGTTTGAGAATGTTTCAGCATTCTCAAGTCCATGGGATTTAAGCAATTCAATGCAAAGTCTGGCAGCAAAGGGTCAGAACATAGTTTCATAATTTTTATTATTTCATGTTATTATACTTTGTTGCTTTATCTATTGGAGGAAATAAAGGCGTTTTAATAAGACGTGCTGATTTCTCTTTCTCATGGTTGTTGTCATCTTTTCCTAAGCCCAGCTCTGTGGAAGACAAAGATAAATCTTGGAGGTTCCTTTCGTTGGTGCACAAAATGCCCATTTTGCGCATGTGCGGAATCATGGGCAGGACTCGGGGACATACCAGCCTTTGCATCTCCTAGGAGGCAGAGAAATAGGCAATGAAATAACACGTGGGGCTCGGGAGCATCTGTTCCAGCACAACAGGTTCATCCTGACTCCACCGCTGACTGATGATAATCTTGGGCAAGTTACTTAACAAGTCTCATCTTTTGCTTCCTCACTGATAAAATGAGGTTAATAAGGTGAGGCCACGAGGATCAGGATTGGGGAAGTCTTTAGCACTATGCCTGGCACGTAGTAAAAACTCAGTACATGGGTGTGATTGCTCCCCGTACATGGCAGATCTGCTCTTCCCAAGTGGCACCGAGAGTTCAGAGGGTGTTCTGAACTGCAGACTTTGTTCATCCGCAAGACCTTGGGGGGTGGGATACGGCAGAAAGCAGCTCAGATTTGGATAGCACTCAGCTCCTTCTGGGCCTGCCAACTGATGAAGCCGTTCTGATTAATGTTTCATCGTATTTGTGTTTGCAGCATGGTTTGGCTCCTATCTTGGTTTCCCTAATAGACTAGAAGCTCGTTGGGAGGATAGGATGGAGATTTCCATTCCATTCCTGAGATTTCCGTTCCTTTGGAGTTCTCAGTTCTGGGCTGTGCATATGCCTAAGGAATGTTGGCCAGTGAATGGATAGATTGGGGCTAGTTTCCAGAAAGTTCAGAGAGCAGCCGTTCTAAACCTGGCTATGCATGAAAATCACATGTGCATAGGATGACCAACCATCTGGTTTGCACAAATTCCAAAGACTCGAGGCTTCCAGTTTTAAAACCAGAACTGGGGGGTTTCCTGGGACTCAGGACTTTTAGTGCTAAAATTGGGAAATTCCAGGAAAGCATGAAAGTCAGTGTTGGGAAAACTGTGTGGGTTAGTCATCTTATCAGGAGAGCTTTAAAACCTGCTGGTGCTTGGGACCCACCCCCAAAACCTCTGACATCTTTGGCGTGGGGGTGAAGCCTGGGCATTCCCATGGCTAATGAGCCAGGAGGTTCTGAAGTTCAGGAGAGGATGAGAACTGCGGGTGAGTGAAAGGTGCGCCCTGGAGCTGTGAATGGGCTACAGGTGGCCCGAACGACCGACCCCCTTCAGACTTAGGGGTGCTGAGGATGTGAATAGGGTTGGGGAGGCAAAGGCTGAGCCACAATGCATGAAGGTGGTGGAGAGAGAATAGGTTAGAAAGAAAATTCCAAGGCCTCGTCCAAGACCCTTGGAACTGGGACCCTACATTGGAGTCAGGATTCCCCAGTGATTCCTATGGGCGCCCAGTCTGTAGAATCATGAGACTGTATAGTCAGAACATATCACGAAGACATAACAGTAACAGTTTCGAGGAAATGCATTTGGGAATACTCAGTCCCCCTTGAATTGATGTGGGCCCAGAAGGTAAGAGGTGAGATGAAGGAATGGGAACCAGAACCATCTTTAAAAATCCTCTCTTTCTCCCGGATGTTTTCCTCCCCTTGGAGTGGGCGTTTCTGAACACCACAATGGTGACCCTCTGTCTGCAGATCTTCCCTAAACCTTGAGTGCCCAACCTTCAGGTAGGCCACAGTCAGTTTCTCGTGGCCAATGAGATTACTGTTCTCAATTCTCTATTCCCTCCTCCCTAGGAGCCTACCGTAAACGAAAGGGGACCGAGGCTATTTCTCTGCAGACTAGCCAGTGAGAAACACGGATGCTTGTGATTGTAAGCCGCTGAGTTTGGGGTGGTTGGTTGGGCAGCGTTTGTGTGGCCAGAACTGACTTGTCACCGATCTCAGCCAAGGACCTGTGAAACCCTTTTCAGAAGAAAAGCTTGCTCACCGTGGTGGCGAGGGCCTGGAAAGGGGTGAAGACCTGCCCCAGCTGATATCGTCTGTGCACATTGATGTCTCCATAGCGACTGCGACGCTCCTTCCGGCAGGTCAGTCTCTTCTCCGCTTTCATGTCCAGGAAGTTCCAGAAAGGGCCCTGTGGGGACAGACGGCCACGTGTGCCTGCGGGGCCCCCCAGCTCACACAAGACAGGGTGAACTGTTTAAAACAGGCAGCTCATCTGCGTGCCTCTCGTTCACTATGGGGACTCCATTTGCCTTTCTGAATTTCCTGTGGCCTTGGGAGGCAGAGCAAAGGGCCATGCCTGCCACGAGCTGCTGGGGCTGCACAGGAGATTGAGGGTCAGGCCACCGAGTTCTAGCTGTGACTGTGCCACGCCCTCAAGGACCTCGACCCACTACCCACCTCTAAGGTGGATTAGTGATGAAGGGCCTTTCCAGCCTTGGAATGGCATGATCCATCGAACCTGGCATGCCATCAAGAATGGCGTCAGTTGAAGGCCATCCTTGCAGAAAGCAGGATCCGATGTGTGATTGTGCCATGGAGGGACCTCTCTTGTGATTCTAATCTCACTTCTATTAGAGACAGAGGAGCAGCCCCGCTGGCTTTTCACTAAGGAGAGACACTGACATAGGGTGCCTGGTGGACTCCCCGAGGCAGAGCCTCCTTGCACAGCACCCTCCTCACTTGCCATGGAAGGCACCTCCTGCTGGGTGCCCACAGCTGCTCTGATGCTTACTCTTAGCTGTGTTTCCCAGTTCCCGGGCATCCCACCCTCCCCTGCTTCCTCTCTTCTGGCCTCGCCTCTTTGCGCAGACAACAAAGCCCCGCCTTCTGCCTGTGTATCAGTTTCTTCTCCAGAGCTGCTACCTCTTCTTGCTCTGTCGGTGTCTGGCCAGAGGGAGAGTGATGGCCAGCCTGGATTCTACACCACAGGGCCCACCCCAGACATGCTCGGCTTCCTGTTGCATGAGGGGGGGCTCAGCAAATGCTGCCTCTCTCTCCAAATTGATTCTTTTACCCTTCCTCCCAACCCCCATCCTCCACCCCGAGACAGGGTTATGTTTGGCAAGGTGGTGGCGAAGGATGGATTCCAGCTGCTGATGGCCGAGTGTGCCTGCCTTTCTGGCTGAGACACCTGGGAAGTGAGAGTGTGCTGAGGAGTGGGCGGCTGGACACCCCGCAGGAACCTCATCCCAATTAGGGGGTTGGGCCATTTCCTGCCTCCCACGCGGCAGGAAATGAATGTGTGTTATTTCTTCCAGTGTTGACTGTAAGGGTGCCAGACGGGCACCACGGTAGCAGCTCTGGAGGCAGGCGGGGACAGAGGAGCTGACCGAAATCGGAGGTCACTAGGGATTTTACAGGTCAGTATCCCACATCCCAGATGGAAAAAGTGAGACCCAGCAAGGTGAGAGGACTTTCCCGAGGCCTGTGTCACCTTCTCTTGCATCCAGTTTAAACTCACACATGTAGCTTCAGGGTGGCAACTCTGACCCTCGGAAGGCGGCTCCCCGAGTCCACCTTGAAGGCAGATGGATACCAGTGGACCTCACTGGGGCCAGGCCAGCCCGATCCCCCAGATTGGGCCAGAGCTGACCAGGAGCAGAGCTGGATCTGCGGTGGAAGGTGAGGGAATCCTCCTTCCCTGGATTCTTCTGGAGCTTTTAGTCATATTTTCCCTGACTTGTCATGCTGCCTGTCTTCAGAAAGGTCATCGTCACTGTCATCACCATCACCATCACATTTTTAATAGGGGAGCCAAATTTGCAAGTGCTTCCTTTTCTACCTGGACCCTGTCCCCCTTCTGTCCCCTCCTGCCTTTCTGCTCGTCTTCCAGCACTCGGATTTGGCTCCCAAGGAAGGGTCACCTCCGACAGAGGCCTGTCTGGCCCCCAAAGTTAGCCCCTCCTCCGGGTTTCCAAACCATTTACCCCTAGGGTCTGTTTCCCCCACTTGACTTGCTGAAGGTGTCTCTCCACCCAGTTATGTCCCCAGTACACCCTAGGGTCCTGGAACGCAGGGTCTGTGTTTTACCTATCTTAGATGGATGACGTGTCCTGTACAAAGTGCTCAACAGAGGGTTGTCACACGAGTGGGGAATTGTTTTGAAGGCCACTTCTGGGTTTTAAGAGAGTAGGGGGGAAAGATTAGATTACCACCAAACATTCCAAAAATGTCTCTTTCCCACAAAACAACATGAACCTATTAACTGGAGGGAGAGGTGGGGTGAAGACTCACACCTCACACAGTGGAGATGAAGCAGTCGTTGAGGGGGACGTGGGCAGGAAAGGACTGTTTGGAGCATCAGAAAACTGCCCGATTTTGAGGATATTTTTCTTTTGGGAAGGGCTGATGAGAGTCACAAGCCTTATGTACGACCTGTGTTTGGGGCTATTCCTCTCTCTGCACGGGTCTCACCTGGAGGCGGGGGCTATGGGAGTGGGAGGAGGTCAAGGGTAAAGAGAAAGCATCTACTCCTGCTCCTTGAGTCTTTGCAGCCACAGCACCTCATTTGCTCAGCTGACCCCTGAATGGGACAGAGTCTCACTTCTCAGCCTGCAAAGGATAAGGGGAAAAGGGGGCCCTTGGAAGACTTACGTTGTGTATCCGGGAGCTCTTTGCAATGGGAGGAGACAGTTCCCAGCTTCGTCCCCCAGCTTTGGTGCTCACACTTGAGACTGGTGGTGGATAAACAGGTCCCAGGGGGGTTGGTAGCCTCCAATCTGTTCAGAGGAGACAGGGAGAGAAAGGCCACATTGTGGAATCCCATGCACAGGGCTCGCTTCTTTCTGGCTGGGCCAGGGTGGATTTCTCCAGGTTTGACCCCAGCATAACAAGGAAGAGGCTCGTGCAGAAGGAAGCAGACCCTCAACCCAGGGCCAAGAATGGAAACTCTTGTTAGGACATAAACGGAACCCATAGGATATTCTGACTTGCTCTTTCTGGAAGCTGGAATGTGATGTGCATGGTGGCCGTTCTCTTTGCCAGGTGCAGTATTGGTACATTGTTTTGCTAAGGATGCGTGAGATGAGTTCATTTTTACTCTGGGGGGTTAATTGAGAGAGAGGATCGTTAGGGGCTCCAAATGGTCATTTAATTAGGTTAACTAAAGAATGAATTATGTGACCCTCCCATTTCCCTGCATTTGTGCAGAATTGTTCTTTTACTTTCATGCAGAGGTCATAAAACTCTCTGTAAAGGGTCAGGTAGTAAATATTTCAAGCATCGTGGGTCACGAGGGCTCTGTATGCAGAAATGGGCCGGGCTAGAGCACAATAACAGCCGTAGATGACATGTAAGGGAGTGAGTGTGGCTATGTTCCAACAAAACTTTATTTATGGGCACCATAAAATTTCACATAATTTTCATGTGTCACCCAATGTTATTCCTTTGATTTTCTTTTCAACCATTTAAAAATGGTTTAAAAACCATTCCTCGTTTCCAAGCCATCCAAAGACAGGTTGCGGGACACTCTTGGCCCATGGGCTGTACTTTGACCCCCACATTAGCGATGCCCTGATATGCCTCCTGTCGCAAAGAGGCAGGTGCTGGTTTCTAGAATGGAAGCGAGCATTCTGAAGTTTCCTCAGCAATGGCAACATCCATGTGCAAGCTGGACATCTGGACCATGATCAAGCCTTAACCAAAACAAGCCCAGGCTGGCTGGCCTAAGTCAATTACAAAATGTAGCATTCCAACAGACTTTGAAGTCATCCAGTTCATATTCTACATTGGAGGTATGACCACACTTCACACCAACCTGAGGATAAAAGGCTCCCTTCTATTAAACGAGAGAGAGAGAGAGAGAAAGAGAGAGACAGAGAGAGACGGAGAGAGAGAGAGAGAGAGAGAGAGAGAGACACGGAGAGAGAGAGAAGGGAAGAGAAGAGAAGAGAAGGAAGGAGGGAACGAAGGAAAAGGAAGAAAGCAAAGAAGAAAGAAAGAAGACAAGACCCAACTCCTAGAGTAAATGGAGTTATCATTGTCTCTCAATCACTTATTTTCATGCTGACTGACTTTTGGGGTGTGATATAATTCTGCCTCAGTTCAGTGTTACCTAACTTCCCGATGTTGTCAAACAGAGTTCTGTATCTTCCCCCATATGTACTGAAGGAGTAAATATTGGCAAGAGGCATCTCTAGGTTTCCTTTGAGGTTTTTATCTGTTAGCTATGACCTTGGGTGGAGCTCATTTCCTTTTCACCAGATTTTAGGAGCTGATGCAGAGGAGTGCCGTGTGGGGAACCTGGGCGGTGTTTGCTGATGTGGTCCCCGAAAGCTCCCAGCAGCCCGAGGTGAAGCATTGCTCTTCTAACAGAATTTAAAAACAGGGAATGGAGTACGCTTCACATAGCAGTTTCCCTAGGATGTCAGAGAAGGCATAAAAAAATAACTCAGAGTGACTTTTTCTGGGGTCAGCCAAAACACTTTTTGAGATCATAATGGAATTCTGATGCTGTAAAACTTTCCCTGGTGGGAGCGGGGCGCTGGTGAACCAGCACTGCCCAGCACGAGGTCTTGAACAGGGCGGACTCTCGGTGAGTGTTTATAAAGCAGGTGAAGGGGGGCGGGGGTTTCAGAGAGGATTTTGTCTGAACAGGAACTTGGGTTTCCTTCCAGCTGAACCCTCTCTTGGGTTGCATCTCAGGGCTTTGGAGGAGCGTGTGACATTCTGGGGGAGAAGTTTCCCTTTAGACCCAAGGCGAACCGAGTCCAGCCATCAGGTTCCAACACCAGACCACACGTGGCTGTCTGTCTCAAACAGCTGCCACTGGCTCAGTGTTTCCTTAAAAGAGGAATCCCGCTTCCCTGGGCTTTGCCAAATCCCCCTCAGTCAATAGCATCTGCTTAATGCTACATTTGCAATCACTTCTCCAGCAGGGACCAGCAGGCAGGTAGAAGAGGCCAGCCCCACCCAGCTCAGGATGCGGACCCCTGGGTCGTGGGGCCTGCATGCCCCTCGGTAGTGGGGAAGGACCTGGGGGTTGGGAGGCGTCAGGGAAGAAGAGGCTGCTGCTTCCTGTGGCTCTTTTTTTCCTTGTGAAAGAATTATGGCATTTGGGCAATTTTCCCGTTGTTATCCTTGGTAATAATTTTTCTTTTAGGGGGGTGGTGGTGAGGGGGAGAAGGAAGGGATGTTGAAAAGAGGCTGCTCTCTGGAAGTGATTAAACCCTGGAGAGAAATCTCCATAGGCACTGAAGACTGAGAAAGCTGTAAAACTGATTATTCATAACCTAAAAACCAGCTCCATGCCCTCCCTCCTGAAAGCACTTCTTTGGTGCAGGAAAAGGGCATCCTTGCATCTTGGAATTACATGCTGAGCTCTCAGAGGCGCGGTTTGTGTTCTACTGATCTTTGAAACCCCAGCACGGGGCAGGACGCTTGGCACACAGTGGGTGCTTAATACAAGCAGGTGACAGAGTAAACATTAAACACGGAGCACCAGCAGCTTTCTGAGCTACGTGGGCATTTTAATCTTTTCTCAACACCATCCCAGCTAGTAGGTGAGCTGCCTGCTAAAACGGCAGAGTGGCTTGAAAAAGTATGACATGTGTTGAATTTCAATTTCTTTGCTGAAAGTCAGTGGAAACGTGCTTTATCGCCGCTCACATCTCTTTGGCTTGTCAAGTCTTCAGCGGTTTCTCTTTAAGGGGAATTTAGCTTTCAGGTCACTCTTGTGTTGGCTCCAGCAGCGGCTCTCATCCCTGGTGGTGTGTTGGAGACTCCTGGAATGTGGGGTTTTAAAAAATTCCAAGGTAAGGGCACGCCCCAGGCCAAATGTATCCAAATTTTGGCAGATGGGACCTGCCCCGGCCATCTGGGGGATTCAAACGTGTGCAGCCACGGCTAAAAGCTAAAAGCCCTGGGTGGGGGACAGTTTGACTGCACTGGTGCTGAAGCAATAGCTGCTTCTCTGACTGAGAGTCAGCAGTCACGGCAGGCGGCTGTTAAGGGTCAGAAGGATAATCCTGTGGATTACAGTATTTGATGGAAGTCAGCACTTTTTCTTTTTGACAGCGGCTTTTTCACAAGCCAAGAAATCTCCGAGTCTTTGTATCCAAAAGCCATTTAGTTGGATTAAAGCTTTATGTCCGTTTGCCAGTTTTGCACGGGGCAGGCAGGGGCGGGGGACTAGTAGTGTGCGAGAAATGCCAGGATTTCTTTCAGAGCAATGTTGGCGTGATTGTCTTCCAAATTCCCGACCCCTACTATGGGGCCAGCCATGTAACAGATGCTCAAAAATGCTAAAATAATTACAGCAGCTACAGCTTGCTGGATACGTACTGTTACCCTCTCAGTCAGTCTTCAAGGCAGCCACCCAGCTAGGTCCAGAATTCTTAGATGGCCCCAAGGTTCTGCCCTGATTATGCGTTGTTGCCCGTATAACCTCCCCCTCTTGTGTGTGGGCAGGGCCTATGAACATGATGGAGTTTCACTCATGATTATGTTAATTGTGGCAAAGAGAAAGGAATTTTGCTGATGTAATTACAGTCTCTAATCAGTTGACCTTAAACCAATGAAAAGGGAGCTTATTTTAAGTGGGCCAGACCTCATTAGGTGAGCCCTTTAAAAGGGGGTTGAGAGGTTACATCCAAGTCTTGCTGGAAAAGCAAGCCACTGTCCGTTCTAATGCTGCAAGCAAAGGATTCGATCAACGACCCTGAGCTTCAGATTAGATGCTGAGCAGAGAGCCCAGCTGAGTTGTGGCCAGACCCCTAACTGCTAAGCGGGTGTTGTTTTAAGCTGCTCTATCTGTGATAATTGGTTACATGGTAATAGCAAACTAACACACCAGTGAAGGAATCACGGCACAGAGAAGCTGAAGGACTTGGCCCGGGACCCACATTGGGAACTGGTGCAGCCGTGGGTCAGACCCTGGCATTTCTGATCCCATGCTGTTTAGCCCTCTACTGACACTGCCCTCTGTTTGTGAAATGAGGCTCATCTGCACTGGCTCGCGGGTTTGCTGGGAGCCGTACACTGGGACAGAACCAGGGTTGGCTCCAAAGCCTGCTGCTCTGTGAAGTGGACTAGAGGCAGGAGGTGGCAGCATACCTCACGCACCATTTCCTCATGGACCGTTTCCACACGCACCGTTTCCACACGCACAGAAGAGCAGAGCCAGAGGCGGGGGAAGGGTATGTCTTTAGATCCACACTCCCAGCTGCCCCTCAAGTTGACACCTATGTGAGTTGTGCCCAGAAGGGCTGAGGAGACTCTTTAGAAATCAGGACTTGGAGCACACAGGCCTGTCTTCTGAACATCAAAGAAAGCTCAGGAAAGAAAGAAACATGCTCTTGGTCACACGGTGACACCTGTCTCCTTTGTTCCCACTGAGAGGATATTGGCCTATTTTCTGACCACATCCAGAGTTTAGACCATCATGATTATTAGAGGCATCCTTCCTTAAAGAAAAGCTAATGTTTCCTTCTAGTAGTAAGATACATTTTAATTCGGCTTTCCCATTGTGGATATGTGTGAATGTTTATTGGAGGGTAAGGGGGTCTTGGAAAGTTATTGCTTTCTGGTGCACCTGGGATGTGGGTGTGATGCACAGAGGTGAGCAGCCATCCTGAAAACATGAGGATTAGGGGAAGTAGAAAGCTATATGACTGGCTTGGGTCCCTGCTGCCATCATGGAGCCACCTACCAGCTCTGCACTGCCTTCCTCTGGACACTGTGTCATGTGAGGGAAATACATTTCTCTTTCTGTTGGTGAATTTTTTTTTCTTTCTATTTCTTCAGGTCCAATGCAGTTCCGTCTGATGTAAAAATCTATATCATAAGGTATTTGAAAACACTTGGTAAACTGTCCAGTGTTAACAGGTGCAAGGAAGAACTCAGCATCTTTGCTACAAGTTAAGAACCCTTTCTAGAGTTGTAATCAGTGTGAGGGGGAGGACGGGGATGCCTCCCTTCAGTACCGACTCATGGGAAGTCTGGGTGGTGGTGTAGGCTCAGATGTAGGGTGGCCGAAACAGAATTTAACCAGAGCAGCAAATCACATTTGGGTCTGATGTGTTTCCTTTTGTCTGAGGCAGGGAAGACCTGGTAAGGAGCCGCTTTCTGTCTCTGAGCACCCCTTACCCAAGCACCTGTCTGAGATCTGAAACAGTACGCCCAGGTTTGGGGTGCGCTGAGCCAGTGCGTGAGCCAGGATGGCCATCTTTGGTGACAACAGACACAGGATCTGGAACACCAAGGGGACAGACCTACACTCTTTCTTTCTGGTCCAATCCCAGTGGAATCCCTGAACTCAGCTCAGGGCATATGGACAAAGTGCAGCTTGTTCAGAGAAAGAGAAAAATGATGAGAATGTTTAGTTTTAGAAAACTAACCCCCTGAAACTCTGTTATTTGGAGCGTGACTAAAGGAGGTGGGAATAGTTAGGCTGAAGAGGAATGAACCCTATGGGGGACGTGGCAGTCACTCCCGAGTATCTGAAGGGCTGCATTGTAGAAGAGGGTGGAACTGGAACTCATGATGGAAGCTTCTGGGTGGGGGCCAGATCCGTATTTGTGCTTGCACACAACCCTGACAGCCACAGCCACCAAGGACAGAGTGGCCCATCTCAGCAGGTGGGCCAGTTGCAGGTGGTATTTAAGTATAGATCGAACTACCATTTGCAGGGGGATCCCAGCATGCATTCACATGTGGGTTCCTTCTCTCAAAGACTGCACGGATGAATTAAAGAGGTATTTAGCGCCTACTTTGTGTAATGATCAAACTATGGCCTCTAAGCGCTCTCCCAGCTTGGTGATTCTTTGATCTCTGGGTAGGATGAGCTCCATTTTGCAAAAGGGGAAAAACCGAGGCTGAGATCTGGGACGAGATGCACAGAGCCACACACCATTTAAGGGGCAGAGCCTTCATTCTTCCTGAGCCTTTGCTCTATCTACTCTACTTCCTTTTTCAATCATTTGTCCTTTGCAGGAAACAACAACAACAACAACAACAACAACAACATAAAATCACACTCTGCTCAACCATCTAGCTGTGGTGAGCATGTGCTGTCATGATGCTCAGTTGTTCAATATTGGTCTCAAGGAGGTGTTTTCTGCCTCTGACCGATGGGAGCGAGCCCTCCCTTTGATGTGCAACCGCCCGTGTCTCCCCAGATACCCCCGAGCAGAAGCGGGTTATAGGCAAGGGCTGTTGTTCACATTTCATGCAACATATGGCTTTCTGATTGGGGAGTGGCTGTGGCTTCTGAAGATACAGTCACCCTGCTACTCCCTGTGCTGAGATTCCAAAAATTGCTGTGGAAACCACACATTTCTAAGCAAGCCCATTTCTTCTCAAACATTTCTGAATCTCTCTCTCTCTCTCTCTCTCTCTCTCTCTCACACACACACACACACACACACACACACACACACACACTCCACCACTCCACTGCCAACCTCTACATCTTACATGTCTGGATCTTTCCTGCCAGGATCTCTTGCCCAGCACAACCTCTGTGGGTTTAGGGTTGTTTCATTGGGCAATGAGGGCCAACTTCACTTGTGCAGCTGGGCATTCCACGCACAAGCAGGCCCTTCCAGCTCAGGCTGCCTTTTGACTTTGAACGCACCAGGCTTACAAGATGCAACGAGAGCAAATTGGCAGCTGTGTAGGACTGTCTGACGCTGTTGGAAAACTTGCTTTGTAATTTCCTGAGCCTTTCAGGGTCAGAAGTGGGTAGAAACCCCCAAATGGAAGAAAATCCTAATCACTTTCAAGTGGAAGGAAAATAAGAAACAGATGAGCTCACATGGGTGCAGACTATAGATTCTGAGGCTCCCAGGATAAATGTTCCCAAAACCTCCAAAGCCCCACCTTCGCAGGAAGCCAGCGCTGACATTCTGAGATGATTTACTTGGCCCGGACTGGGCCATCTGTGGCTGGGAGTGGTGCTCCAGTTCACACTCCCCCAACAGTGCTGGAGATAAGTTGGAGAATGGAACAGGCCCCTGAAACACATTCACTGTGTGTCTTTGATCATCTTCACCCATCTGCTCAACCCAGGTACTCTCAGCACCTGGAGCAGTGCCTGACGCAGAGTGGCTGCTCCACAAATTCACTGAATGAACAAATGATTCCATTTTTTTTGTATCCTGTGCACTGCTGAAGTTCTTGTCGCTTAGCTGACTTTGCATAAATGGTTACTGCAGGAGACTAAGGTAACAAAGCCTTTGACCTCTAAACAGAACTGAGAGGAATATAAATTGAGAAGGCTGGAAGAGTCGGGAAGAATCAATACAGCTGTGAGGTGTCTGCGAAAGCCGTAGGTCATGTGCGGACCCTCAGAAGAGTCTGAGCTGGGGGCAGCAGTAGCCAGAAGTTTCTCCCATGAGCATTTGAAGTGTGTGGCTCATTCTGAACTCCATCTGCAAGGCAGACTCCCCTCTCTCGCCTATTTTGCTGCATCTTTTCTTACCCTACAATTCTCCTTAATTTACTAGTTTTAGTCCTGGGGAGTAAGACCAGGCTTTGCAAATGACCCATTTTCCAAGCTCTGTCTTATCCAGGTGACATCATCACAGCTTTCATTGGTCTGAATGCGACTCAAACCAAGAAGACTTAGGGAATTGAAGCTGTTGATGATCAAAAAGTGAGCAGTGGGTATGTAATTAGATACCCTTTCTGATTCCGTGAATAGGGCTCTCAAGGTAATTAGGAGAATTGACGTGTCCCCTTTGGCAACTGCCATTTGTCACTCTGTTTCACACTTGGAGTAAGCGATAGCTCTATGTTAATGGCCAGAAAGGATTGCATCTGCCACTTAGGAAATGAGGCTTAAAGATAACTTTTCACCCAAGAAATACCCGCTTGCTTTTCCCTCCTCTATCAATGACACCCACTTAGCAGAAACATCATGTAGATATATTTGCAAAAGGTTCGCTTTCTTTAGCTAGAGAAGCTGATGGAAATGCAAAGGCATCTTGCCTCTATGCCTTCCCCAGCTCTCTGGGCACAAACAGGACAAGCTAGTACATACGGTTAACTCCAGGTTGGTAAACTGGAGCCTTGGGAGCCACCCTCAGGGCTATGATTTGTTCCTCGTACTTGGGATACCTCATTGGCTGGTGGCTGTTCCCTGTGTTAATGGGTTGGGCCTGGGGCTCAGGGGTGTGCTTTGCTGGGCTTAGAAACCGAGCCCAACGTGGAAGCGCCCAACTCTGCAGAAGTAAAGGCAGTGAAGGGGGCGAGGGGTTGTGGGCCCCTGGCCAAAACCAAGCCACCCCCTGGAGATGGTGCTCTCCACGGTTCCTCCCAGAGTCAGTTGCTCTCATGGAAAAGTCGAGGTTGACCCCCTGGGACCCAGGACACAGGATGTGGCTACTGAGCTCATTGACATGCACAGCCTTCAGTTTCACTGGAAGCAGTTCTTGTTGGCCCAATGCCAGATAATATTAAATATGGAAATAAGAGCTTTTGAGCCAGAAGTTGTCCTAAGTAGCAGCAGCTCTGCAGAACTGCTACTTACAACCTTCACTGTTTCCTGTCCCACAGGATCTGCCCTTGGCCCAGGGGGTTCCAGCTCCGGGACCCCATTTCATAAACCAAAGGGTTCCTGCAGCTGCACCAGGACTGGGTCTGTAGCCCTGGCTGGCCCTACCCTTGGTGTCTGTTCGAGGTTCTGTTTCTCTGAGAGGAGGGCCTTCTTCAGTAGACTCGTCCCCTCCTGCCTCCTTTGTGTCGTCCTCCGTGCTCTGGGCACCTTCCCCCTTCTGCAGCACCTGGCCACGAGGCCGGGCCTGGCCTTCCGGCAGCTCCTCAGGCCTCATGTTCTCCTTCTTCCTCTCCCAGAGAGCTCTAGACATAAAACAATAAAATTAAAACAAAAAACATACCATCAGGTGTGACATTTTGAGTGATTCGATAGCCTCGGAGGAGTGACCCAGCAAGTGGTCAGAAGAGGAAGGAACTGAAGGGGGTCCCCCAACTTCACGAATGCGTATTTAATCTGGGAGGAAAATAAATGGATGCTTTCCACTTATTTTTTGCACAGAAGGGTGGGAACAGCTCCCAAGGAGCAGGACAAGTGGAGAACAGGTGTTCCACATATAATAGTTCCAGTGATGACCCCAAAGAATTAAACGCATTCACACACACCAGTGCACACACAGACACACGCAGAGACAGAAAGAAAGCCATTCTTACAGGGATGAAACACAAGAGGTCAGGAAGCATCTAAGAGCTAGTATTTCATTTTTATGGGGTAGGATCGATATACTTCATGTTAAATTGTGGTTTCTGTTTCTTTTTTCCCATTTGCCATCATATCAATTATTTGTTTATATTTTGGGTGGGTTTAAACACAGTTCTTAGGTGACCCTCAAACATTCAAGTCACAAGGTCCTTCCTGATTGGACCCTGCTCACCCCTCCACCCTCCCCTCCACGCCTCCCCTAGCAGAACCAGCCCTGTGCTCAGGACATGCTGCGGGCTCTCAAGCTTCTGTGCCTTGGCTTGGGTTTGTCCTTCTGCCTGGAGTGTAGCGCTTCCCTCCTTCCCTCCTCTGCTCCCCTCGCCTTCTTGAGATCTCCTATGTGTTACTTTATTGTGCTTGTCCATGACGTCCCCCAAATCTCATCCTTAGACTTAGATCTGCCCCCTCTAGTCCCCATAACCTTTAGGATATCTCCATTTTAGTCATGACAAATTGTGCAGTAAATGGTCCATTTTCATGCTTATATCCACTATTAGATTTTATGTTCCATGAGGCCACAGACTCGATCTTGTTCACCAGTGTATCCCTAGCAGGTAGGACTGTGTCTGGTTTGACCCATATTGGATGACTGGATGGCTAGGTGGATGTGCGGATGGATAGACACGTGGGTGGATGTGTGAATGGATGGAAGGAGAGATGACAAAGTATTTGGTGAAGGTAGAAAGGGACAAAAGACAGCAGATTCAAAATATTAACCATGTAGAAGGGAGAGTCGGAGTTGGGGGGGCAGGTTGAATCAGCCCTAGATCCACAGTGATGACCAGACTCAGGAGCAGATAGTCAAGGGGATGCTTCTGTACCCATGAAGGTTGCATCTTGGGTTTGTCAAAACTCTTCTGCTGCAATAAAGACTCAGAGAGCAAGACAGGATTTTGTTTTGGCATTTTGTGATCAGCCCATCTGAGAAGCGCTAAGTGATAACATCATTGGTGGGTTTCATTTTTTCCCCTGAACAGCAAAGAAACTTAATCTGAAAACCAGCATCCTAGAGGTGATAATTAAGAAAGATCTGTTAAGGATTTAGAAATAACAGCATCACTCAGTGATGCAGCTGTCCTCTCCGGTAAGTTGGACAGAAACCTGAGATTTTCCCCATGCATACAAATAAAAACTAGTGCATCATTTTTCTTTTATGAATTTAAACTGGATTTCTGAAGGCTCTATTCACCTCTGTGTTTCTCTCAGTCTTCTCAAAAGATCCATCTTAAGCAGTCTGTGTGCCAAGCAATTTTTTAGAAAACAAAACTCTTCAGCTTAGAACATCTACTCTGTGTGTGATCACCGATACCTCCAACTTATCCAGCAAGCTGTCTGTCACATTCAAACTGACAACCCTAAGGCATATTTTGGCACATTAAGGAAATCTACACTCAATAAACGTTATGATACATGTCTCTAGTGCCCTATTCAAGGATCTTAAAGTGCTCTGCTCACTTTGAGATACTCGTTTATAAAGTTGTAGCTAAGCATTACCATCTACTGGACTTAGGCTGGTATGCAAATGAGTGTGGGCCCAGGGGACTCACTTAGCCTTGCCTTGTCAAGATGAACAGGGCCATCAAGTGACTGCTGGGGAGCCGTGGATGACCGCCACCAGAGCACATTCTGGGGTATAAAAATTACATTCAGATAATGTTGAAGATCACAGAATGCTTTGTTAAAGGGCCCAAGTCAACCAACCAGCGGGGAGCTGACCAAATTTCCACCTGTTTCAAATTAAATGTGTTTATTATCTTTACTTCCCAGCTCAGCATAATCAGTTAGAAAATATCTCCTGTGATTTTAGCTGAAAGCATATTTTTGTAAGTTTAATGGGCTGTTGGCTTTCACAGCAAGTCAGTGACGTCTCTCCCCTCACTTTGACTCTGAGGTGGGCTTCCCTGGAGCTGCAGGGTGGTGTTGGTGGGCTCTCCTCCTTCAACCCTCATCATCTGTCCAGGGGTTTCAGGGTCTCAGGGTCTCAGGGTCTATGCCGAGTGTTAGGAGTAGAGTGGGAGCAGAGAGTCAGTTGGTATATATATGAGATAAGTAATTGCAGATCTGAAGGGAAATAAACAAGGGAGACAGAGTGAGTAACTGTCAGGGACCCCCTTTTGGATTGGGGGGGTCAGAAAAGGCTTTTTGGGCAAATGAATCAAAAGCTAAGACCTAAAGGCTTAGAACAAGCCATTCAAATAGAAACTGGGAGATAAGTGTTCCAAGCAGAAGAAACAGCCATTGCAAAGGCTTTGAGACAGTCAAGGGCTTGTAATATTTGAGCAAAGAGAAAACAAGCCAGTGTGGTGAGGGCGTGGGGGTAGGGAGAGCGAGAGAAGAGAAACATGGGATGAAGCTGGAAAGAGGCCAGATTCACATCAGGCAGGGCCTCATAAGAAATGTTCAGGATTTTAGATTTTATTCTTGAAGCAATGGAAAGCCAGGAGAAAATGCCACAGGTAGATTTGCATTTTATGAGGATTAATTAGGCTGGATAATCTATGATGAACAGATTGGAGAGTGCGGAGGGGGCAGCCGGGAGGCCAGGTGGAGGCGGTTGCATCCAACCAGGTGAGAGGCGATGGCGGCTTGCCCTGGGACAGCATCACTGGAGACGGAGAGAGGACGGTGGGAATGAGGGCTGGTGGAGTTGGAGGTAGGCTTGGCAAGACTTGCTGATGCATTGGCTAGAGGGGACAAGGGAAAGGGAGACTCAAGGGACCCGCTGGTGTTTTGACCTGAGCAAGAGGGTGGATGATGGTGCTGCATGCAGAGATGGGGGCTCTTGGGGGAGGAAGGGCTGTTGTGTGGGAAGGTGAGGTATGAGAGTCCTTTTGGACTTGTTAATTGGGGACACCCACTACTAAGCCCTATGTAGATACAGAGAAGTCTCTTGAAAGGTGCATTTTAATGTATTGTTTTCACTTTAGACATCATGATAGAAACCTTTGGAAGACGTGAGATGGAGGCTGAGACAAGTTGGGAATTAGAGATGATTCAGGGGTTGGCGGTAAGTCTGGTCAATGACATACATAGCACACGGAAATACGTAACCATGGATTTTCTCCTCTGCAACGTCTCCTCCGACCAGACTTTATCCCTGCATGGGGATAAAATTGCTCAGCCAGGTACGGGTGCAGGGAGTCTGAGAACTGCTTGTGCTGAGAGGGATGGCAGAAACTTCTGGAAAGGAGGGCAAGAATTACGATGCAAAGAGAGAAGGAAGTACTTGGGACTTGCAAGGCATGCTTAGGGGATGATACAATCTGTTTATTTACTATTTTCCTTTTGAGTTTTAGCAAATGGAATCCATTTTTTAAAAGCCACTGTTAAAATGACATTTCTCTGTAAATCAGATATGAAGAAAATGAACTGAGGCACCTCTTAGCATTTCCTCAGCTGAGTATCTGCCTGCCTATTAATTTTCAGCAGATTCTGTTGGTTTTTCCACCAGCCTGCCTCTCCGAGCACACACTGCCCCACTCCCTGCTTTGCTTATCTCCTCTTCTGTTTGATGTTCTAAAGGTGTCCAGGGTGCTTTTAGGAAGCATAACATTTGGGTACCTGGTGAATAGCTTGCAATGCAAAATGCATTATCTCAAGGTTATCACTGGTAACTGACTTGGAAGGATAGATTGTCCCGTGGGTTTCTGGTTGGCGTGCCTAGAATCTCAGGGTTATACAAAAAAAAAGTCACCTACTTTTGATAGAAAAAGCTTAAGTGTTGCAGTCAGAGAAGGCTGGGTTGAGCCCTGAGCTCTGCTGTTTTCTATTTGTGACTCCAGGCTTCGGACTAAGGTCTTCAAACCCAGTGATTTCATCTGAAAGTGTGGGTAATGATATATATGTAAATTGCAGGGTTGTTGTGGAGATTAAATGATATGACACGTGAAGTTCTTAGCATGATACTTAATTCATGCTGGGATCCACAATAGTCCATGGTGTTATTACTCCAAATGAGTGCACACAATGGTTGTTAGTTGGACAGGAAACACACACTCATGGGTGGAGGCGTGTTGGGGCGTGGGGTTCTGGGGTGGAGTTTCTCTGTTACTGTCTAGGAAAGGTTGCAGACTGGAAGCTCCTGGTGTGTTAACTGTAACTCAACCATTTTTTAAATTGAATGAAAATTTTAAATTGAACAGTTAAATTAAAAAATAGTGACCTTCCCTATGCAGACTCTCTTGTAGCACAGGGCTCCTTCCAAGCCAGATAGCCACTGTCACCTGTGACTGAGACCCAGGGCCCAGTCTCAAGAAGACCTTTTGAATCCACAGCAAGGTACAAATGAGGCTTTGTGAAGAGAGGAAGGGTTTTCTAAAGTCCTTAGAGGTTTCTTTTAGCATATAAAGGAACAGGCTAGGTCAAATAGGATCAAAGCCATAGTACAGAGGCCCTGGCTGGGTAGCTCAGTTGGTAAGAGGGTCGTCCTGTTACACCAAGGCTGAGGGTTCCATCCCTGGTCAGGCACATGCAAAAATCAACCAATAATTCATAAACAAGTAGAGCAACAAACTGATGTCTCTCTCTCCCCCTTCCTTGCTTTCTAAAATCAATAAATTAAAAAAAGCTATAGAGAGGGCAGAGGAAAGACTGACTGGCGATC